CTGTAAAAAACTGTATTGTGCAACTAATGTTTCATGACAGTTTCCAAATCAAACAGTGTCGTTGGTTTTGCCCATGAAATACTGTGCACGAGTGATTGAGCATTCAGTCAGCCGCACTACTCGATACGATTAATTATTTGACCGAAGCATATGAAAACAAAGTTTCTACCCAAAAGTCTTTTTTGTATTTTATATCTTCAGGAAATGTCTTAAACAAAATGTTACAGAACTTCCTCTTAATATATTATCTCTAAAAGCACACGTTCACCCCACATAGATCACAGGGCATTGATAGAAAAGGGGTGAGACTGATGATGAAAAAGTTCTTAATGATGCATATTGTGTCATCCAAAAATCATTTCAAGCATGGAGACATATCGTTCGTGTCTCGGTTGGGGTGGGAATGTTCTTTCCCACACCTTTTATCTCTAGAGATACCGTATCTGCAGCAACATACACACAGGCTGAAAACAAAAACAGGAATTATTTGTGGGCCAAGGTGAATCTAGGTCCCCGGCCAAGTAGGGCTTAAAATATGCTGCCCGGTGAAGTCCAGGAAGGTAGAGAGTGATGCCTTAAATATGTCCATAAGTAAACCACATTAGCATAGACTATTATACCTTAAATCCAGTGGTTGAGAGTAGCATCATATTAATCAGACAGACATGAGATTTCCCTAAATGATGAACTATTCCTTTAAAAATGGTTGAACTTTCTGATGAAGGTTTAACTCAGCAAATAGCAGAGTCCTGATCTGTTAATCCATTTTCTGACTAACCAGGATCCTTGCTCTCTTGTGCAACTGTCTCACCATCTTTATGCTGCTCTTTGCTTTAGTGCTTTGAGTTTCACAATGAGAATGATACATAGGATTGGCTAACTAACCAGGATCCTTGCTTTCTTGTGTTTACTGTAACTGAAGACTTGAATGAATATGTAACCTATGTTTGATGAAGCCATGTGCAGGAGATAGATGATGTGTAAGTGTTTGAATGGGAGAGAACAGACAACTATGAAACGGATAAAAGTAAATGTGGAAATGGAAGTGCTATTAATTCAGATGGAGACACTTGTCTGCTTCTGATCTATTAAATTCCCATTATCACTTGTTTATTTCCTGATGCCGGCCCACTATAGAGCAAAGCTAAGCCACTGAGCAGATACTTCATCTATGATTCAGATGATAGAATAATCAATTATTCATTATACCACGGAATTGGCTCCACTAATGTAATCATTTCACTCAGAAAAATGAACTGAATCAAACTTACACAAGTCTGTCCATTTATTGTGTTAGAGGATTTACTGAATCTTGCAACAGAGTTGAAAAATAAGAAAATGAATGAAGGTCAGCGTACGGAAAATAAGGGTTAAAGGTTAAAGTAAGCACAGATTTTATCATGCAGTTGACAATCTCTGGTGAGTGTCTTCCTAGAGGATCAGCATATGTTCTCTCCCAGTATCACTTACAAGTTAACTATGCAGTATTATTAAAGCCTGATGGAAAATGCCTCTCACATGCATTACCAGAAACTGGATTTCAAAGCACAGGAAAGGGATTACGTTGAACATGATTTCACTGTTTTCATCACCCACTAGTCTGTTTTACCTGTAGGTAAAGTAGGGAGCTTGTGCACAGTGGAAACTGTCTGACTGCACTTGATGAAGATGAAATATTAATTCCAGGGGTTGACGCGATGATATCGCTGCTGGCGGCACTGATACGCACAGGCTGAAGGAGTTTGTTTTTGATAGAGAGTTTATTTTATAATTATGAGAGACCTGTCACTCAAAACTACTCTCTTCTGTTTCTTACTCCATGCCAGTTCCAAAATAATTAGCGCATTGTTGCACGACGAAGCAGAAGCAGGAAAACCACACTGTAAACTGACTGTGTCACATCTTCTGAAGGTGGATGTGGCTCCATGTTGGCAGCTGGACTAAGGATGTACAGGGAAGCAGCCGCACAACAATATGTGGACGTTTAAAACAAACAGGGCTTTCCCCTCCAGGAACATTGCTGCTTACTGGCAGACAAATAAATAATGGTGTTTCCCATGTCTAGAGAATGGAACATTCCATCTAAGAGCAAAGTAAACCTGTGATCTGGCCAAGAAGACTAAGAAGCATGTTTTATTCTCCTGTCTCCTAATCTCCTGATCCCAGATAGAGAACGAGTGGGGGGGGGGGTGCAGATTGTATTTCCTGCTTGATTCAATATTAATAGATCGCCATGCTACTCTGCCACACTCTTTGCATGGTACACACATACACACACACACAGCCACCCTCTCTTACCTTGGCTCTCAGCCCAACAACTGCTTATGGAGGATATGAGACTTTGTGAATGTCAGGGCACAAATAAGATGCATATTACGAGTGGAAAACTGAATTAACGCGTAACACGAGCAGGTGTGAAGGACAGCAGTATGGATCTGCTGCCATGTAACAATTTCCTGTGAGCTGACACATGATAGGCTAAAAACCCAATTGTTATCGTGGATGACATACAAGGTCTGCAGGGAACAGGTTTATTTAGCATCTTAGTAAAGAATAACAATTTAAATCAGTAATTCTTCTCCTAAACGCTTGGTAAACAAGGTGTCGGTGTGCAACTGTCTCACACTCTTTATGTTGGTCTTTGTTTTAGTGCTTTGAGTTTCACAATGAGAACGACCCATAGGATTGCGAGATGGGTGGGTGGGGGTAGGGAGTTAGGTTAAGGCTTGGGTTAAGTTTAGGTCATGGTTAAGATTAGGTTTAGGTTTTGGGATTAGGCTTCAGCTTTTAAGGTTTGGGTTAAATTTAGGCTCAGGTTAAGGTAAGGTTAATGCTTAGGTTAGTGTATGGTAGGGGTTATGGTTAGGCAGGTAGTAACTATGGTAACGTTTTGAGGAAATCTGCAGGAAATCAATGTAAGTCAATATAATGTGTGTGCGTGTGTGTGTGTATAATTTGTGTGTGTGTTTGTGTAGATAAATGTGTGAATGATGTGCCTCTGAACATTTGATTCATTCAAACTTCAAATGGGTGTCACCCTGTAGTTTTCCATTATCGTCATTTAATAAATACCAGTGAAAGTCCTTTTTTGGTAGTTTTGGAGTGTACAGCAATGATTCCAGTTCATCATATTAACCACAACTTTAGAGGGTTGCAGAGAGGAACATCATCATCCTGTGAGGTATCCTAAAAAAACACAGATTAAACAGGATAATAAGAATTTACTTGGGGATCTCTAGAAACATGTTAGTAAGCTCTCCAAAGACTACACACAGCCAAACAGTGTCAACACTGATCAAGGTCTGTATTGATTTGGACAAATATTGACCATTTGTTACTAGAGTCTACACAGGACAGAAAGAGCTCAATGGATTAATGACTTGCTGCCATATTTTTCTTAACAAAATGGGCTCTGATCTGGAATAAACTGTTTCAATTAAACTTAATGAGAGTAAAATACTAACCACCAGAAATCTTGGTGTTGGCATGAACACAGACTCAGACATTAACACAATTACAAGGGACGTGTCGAGGATTAAATTACTAATATTTCAGGAGGATGTGGAAAAAACATATTATCTTCTGTGGACTTGACTGCTGTGTTTACAGGACTCTCTACAAAATCGATCAGTAAGCTGCAGCTTATTGTGAACGCAGCTGCTGGAGTCCTCACTAACACCCAGAGAGTGGATCATATCAGACCAGTCCTCAGATTGTGACTTTTGCTCCCTGTCTGTCAAAGAACTAACTTTAACATAATGCTGTTGGTTGATTAAGCACTGAAAGGTTTAAGGTCAGAATACACGTGTGATCTACTGCTACATTATGACCCCTCAGGTCATCAGACAGAGGTCTGCTCTCTGTCCCCGGAGTCAACTGGAAACATGGAGAAGCAGTGTTCAGTGTGGAACAAGCTGCCAGAGAACAGCAGGAGAGCTGCAACTCTTATTGTTCTTTAAAACTAATGCTGGAGAAATTTCTATGGTGGCCTTGAAGTTCAAATCACAAAACACAACAGCATTAATGAACAGAAATTGTATCCTTTATCAACAAGGCTTCTTGCTGAATGGATGGACGAATTGTCTGTTGAGTTTTTGTTTTGTCTGTGTTTTCTTATGAGCTGGTGGGTTTTCCTATTGTCTGTTGCGTTTTCTTATAAGCTGTTTGTGTTGTTTACCACAGTGTGTTGCTTTTTGTTTACCATTTCATTTTCTCACATGTAGTGTTTTGTGGTTCTCTTCACTTTAGCTTTTTTTGGTGTCGACTCCTGTTGCTTTTGCTGTAAGTCATGAAGCAATTACCTTGTTGAAATGTGCAACTCAAATAAACTTGCCTGATCTTGCACAAACCAACAACCGGTTAGGTCAGTGGATCACGTGGAATGAAGAACATGCCTCTCACCTGCTGCACCATACATATATATGTACATCCCGGTTCAACGGGCTCCAAACATGACCGTTATTCCACCCGCTGGATCGGGTGGTGGGGGAGAGGGCTGACGTGTCTGCTGGATATAAATGTAAAAAAAAGCAAACCCCGGATAGAAAGTGATGTTAACAGCTGACGAGCAGAGGAGGAACACCACGTGAGGGGGAGCAGATGAGGGGGTAAAAAGGGATGCTTTCATTTTAGCTCGAGCAGGAGGGGGGGGAGATCGTACTTCACCGATAAATCTCATGTGACTGCTGCCGATGATGGAGGGTCTGCCTTCTCTTTCTGCCTGCCGTGTGTAGCTGCTGAGGCAGCGGGAGAAACTCGCAGTCAGCCGGGCTGTGCTACTTCCAAGGATCTTTTTTTTTTTTTTTTTTGAATCAAGATGGCTTGGAGAGAGGGGAGCACACGGTCGTTTTATCGACGAGTACGTGGTTTGAACTGAGGCTGCTGCTGCTGCTGTCTCTGACCCGAGGACTCAGAGGAGAAGGAAAGGTAACGTGTAGAATCACCCACACTGACTGGAAATCACTGAGACGTAGCTGGTGGTTTATTATTTTAATTCGATTTTTTGGCGAGCCGGTGGTCCATCAGCCGCGGGTTACCTCTGTCCCCCTCGTTAGACTTCGTCACCACCGCCGTTGTTCGCACACCATCATTAACCGTACAGGTTACGGACATTTTACAGCTCTGACTGCGGCACACGAGCTCATGTATGAGGGGTAACATTTCCCCAGCACCTCGGTGTTGCCCCGGAGCTGCAGGCCTGCTGACGGGGATCAAGGCGAACTCCCCGCTATGCCAACGTAGCGCTGTTAGCATAGCGCCTGCTAACACAAGCTAACGGTTAGCCGTTTGATGTTTATCTCTCGTCAGTGCTGCGATGCTCACTTCATGTGTTGTGTGAATGGCCCGGGGTTAGCCGTTAGCTCTGTGTGTGGCTGTGAAAACCGTGAACACAGCGTTATTTAAGGTGCACTGTATGAAGCAGGGGGTTAGCAGTGTGTAGCCATTGTGTGTGTGTGTGTGTACAGTGGCGACACGGCGTTGAATTGTGAGACCGCACAGTTCCGTTATGTTTGTTTTGATAAGAAGACGCTCAACTTTTTTATTTTTGAAGTCAACGACCCACACGTTGAACACTTAAAACACACTTTGTACACAAGCACCGCGATTAGGACACGAGTGGGTTGTGAGGTGACTGATCCAAGCACAACGACGTGGTGAGTTTAGCGACTGACCGAGTTTTATCTGTCTGTAGTGTTCACTCAGTTGTAATGTACAGTTAAATGTAATGTCACGTTCGTGTTAACTGTTCACATGTTGACGTCGATGTTCGTGTTTGTTTTCTGTTTCAACGAGAAGCAGCAGCAACAGTTATTACGACAAGTCCAAAAACATCTCATGGATCCAATGATTTATTTTCTGTTTCACTTGCACAGAGATGTGAGGTCAGTGTGGGGGTGACCCCACGGATCGACAATTTAAAAACAGTAAATAGATAAAGATTATTAATTTTTGGTGTAGTCATGGACCTTCTCTTCACATTCACTTTTCAACAGCCACATTAACACAATTACAAAGGACGAATCAAGGATTAAATGACATGTATTTCAGGAGGATTTGAAAAACCTGCCCATGTATTTCTTATCTTCTGTGGACTTGACTGCTGTGTTTACAGGACTCTCTACGAAATCTATCAGTAAGCTGCAGTCCTCGCTAACACCAAGAGAGTGGATCATATCAGTCCAGTCGCCAGATCTTGACTTTAGCACCCTGTCTGTCAAAGAACGAACTTTAACATACTGCTGTGTAAATACCAGTGGAACATCAGCAAAAAAAACTGTCAATAGATGAAGGAAATTAAAAATAAGGGATAAATAATGCAAGGAAATGCATACAAATACAAATCTTTTCCAGGATTTCAATATTGATATATCTCTAATGCATTATGTGTGCACAGTGAAGCGGTATAAGGCATCACAAATCTATATCAGATTTGTAAAATGTCTATTTATCAAGTGTTTTTTTTGTGAGTGTTGTGACATTTATTGTGATATTATCAATATCATCATATAACGAAACAATGAATAATTTTATCTTGATCATTAGCCCTTACTACACATCCATTTTATTTGTATCATGCCAAATGGCAACACTTATTTACTCACGACACATCATTTGAGCCCTTACAATACTATAGAGAAACCCAACTGTTCCCTCAAGTGACCAAACACTTGGCGACTGTGGTGACAAAAAACTTTTAGCAGAACCAGACTCGTTGCGGTTCATCTCACTCAACTGGGAGAGAAGAGAGGAATATATTTAATTTCTTACTGTATACAAGTTTAGATTGATCGGTATAAATGCCTTACTGTTTTGCAGGTATCTTATAGAGTATTAACAATTTAGAGTCTTATTAGGAAACCTATTGAATTATTGGTTAATGTTTTGATGTCATAGAGTAGAGTATCATCAACAATTTGCAGTTCATCTGAAAGGACCAATCCTCTTCAGCTTTTTAATATGCATGAGTTTGCAGAGGTCTTATCTGAGCTCAGCTCTGCTCAGACAAGCAACAAAGCCGAAGCTTTTACAGTCCTTGCACTTGCCCCTGGTAGTCCTCAGGATAAAAGAAAGATGGCCCAGATGGAATTTGGTTAATATTTTTTCATCTGAGAAATTCTGCACAGCATGTTGTGTTTTAACAGACCCTGTTGATAAAGCTGCAGATCAGGCTTGGATGGGAAAAAAAAGATCTGGGAGGTTGCACATGCTATCATGTTGTCATGACGTTTTTTTCTGAGGCAAGGAGGGTGTGGTTTCCATTAAACTAGTAAGAACATTACTGTATTTGAGACTTAACTGCAACCGACACAACTTTCATTACTGATATGTGCAGCACTTATCTCCACCATCCACTGTTTGATCAAAATAACCACAGACATGTAGTCTTTCTTTCTGCTTCTCCTGCTGTACACATTTATCAAGTTGTGCCACAAAAATGGGAAAAATACAGCTCATATCTGTTTTCATGTTTTAATTTTTATTTGTCTTCGGAGTCTATTCTCCAAACACAAGTTATTCCTCAAGGCGAGATGATCTAGCTAAAGGAAGAGAGTTGAAATTCAACCATGATTGAGTCAGACTGCAATTTCTAACACTGCCTTCCAATTCTCATGGTTTGTCAACATCATATTTTCCTCTTCACTATATTAGTCATCCCTTTACCCACAACCTGTCTTCAGTTCTGTCTCCACCTTTTCCCTCTTGCGCCTTTCCTTCTTTTTTTCTCTCTACAGCACCATTGGTTTTGTTAGATATGTGCTGTTGACAAATGGATTTATCTTTGCCGATGTGCTAATGCAACGTCCTTGCTCTCCTCTGGTCATTTCAGGTGATGACCTGGATGGTGCCATGTGAATGACTGAAGACCATGAAGCCCACACACAAGCTGCTGTTCGTCCTGTGCCCCATGCTGGTCCTGGGCTTTATTTACTACTCTTCTGGGAAGCTACATCTACACGTGTGGGGCCAGAAGCCTCGTAAGTCACATCACCAGTCTGATTCATTCTTCACCTGATCATCCATCTCTCATAGCCCCTCAGAAATGTTGACAGTTTTATTTGTTTGTATTGAGCAAGTCTGTTTGTCTCCGTTTTGCTGTCTGCCTCTCTGTGCTGACTGCCAGTTACCTGTCCATCTGTTTCAGTGTTTTTACTTGTTTTATTTTGTAGTCTCTCTGCTAAACTGTTAGGATATTAGTCTGGTCGATGCCGCAAAAACCTATCTGCATCTGATATATTCTTCCACTTCACCAGGCCACAGGATGTTGTGCAGAGAGCCTAATCAGGTTATCTTGTGCATCCAGCATTAGTTACTCTGTCTCTGCCACTTTATATCAGGGGATACACTCATTTGTCTGACAGATAGGACAGAGAAATCTGTCAGTCTCTTTCACAATGCCACACAATGCCCTTTATAACACGAGCATGCACGTCCTAGACTTTCTAACTTAAACATGGATTGTGTGTTTGGGTGTAGGACATGACTAAATGTTCCAAGTAATGCTGAATATCCTGAGCTTTTGATTCCCTATTTAGAAAGGTAGTTTTTTAGGACCTGAATGTTTATATATTGTTGCTATTTAGCTCAGTTGGAATTATATCTTCAGGTAAAACGGATGATCGGAGTCATCTTCTACAAACTGATGATGTGTGTGCCCTGGGGGGTTATGTCATACTTTGTGGGCACCCTGAAAAAAATAGCTGCTAAAGTCCAGCAGAGGGGGCTGGAAGATTTGTGAAAGTTTTTTTTGCATCTGCCTTCTTTATTTTCTATGAAAAAATCTCAGGGGGCAGTATTTGGCACAGAAAACTCAAAATGTCACTGTTTAGAACCAGAAGAGAGCTTCACTGGAGGGACAACGCTGTGTCATAAGTGTGAAGCTTGGGGAAAATGTGGTGGCAACCAACATCAACTTGCATTTTCCCCATCACAACATCTTTGTGCTGTGTCCTTGATATCCTTACACTGGCTTTAATTTAGGAAACCTTTTACTCATAGACCACTTGTCCTGTTTGGAATAACCCTGCTCTGAATGAGTAATGCACCTATTTCTGTCGTTGGCCCCACTCCAAAACAGTCATGTTTATTACAGACTTTTTGGTGGGATTGTTTTTCAGTTTTGACAATGTATCTATTTTAGATGGCTTGTTGATGCCAGGACGCTCGGGTGTAGTTCCATCACTTCATACAGATCTAACCTCACATCAACAACTGACTCTGCTTTGACTGTTTTAATCGGGAAAATTTGTTGTGATCATCTACCCCACACCTGTGTAAGTCATGGAGAAAAACGGTGTTAAGCAAAATAACACAATTCATGACTGACCTGTGTAAAATTCATCGACATTAGGACAGGCCTAATCATCCTGGATAGAATAACCTTTACATGTATATATATATAAGCCATGTCTACTTGTATTTATTTCCAGCTTCTCCATTCACTACAACATATAAGTGTTACAAACTGTCAGTATTGTACAAACTGCCCAACAGAAATTAGTCAAAATGTCATTGTATTAGAGTACACAGTTTATATACTGTATATTCGGTGTCCACCCCCCATTACTGGCAATTGTTTTCTTAGGAAAAAAAAGCTTCCCGTTTTTGTGTGTTTGTCACTGACAGAACCCCTGATCAACAAATTACCTTGGCTGGGTTCCATTTCACAGCATGACAGTCTTTCTGTTGCAATACTTTTCATTTTTCTCTTAGGTCAGCACTTGCATTCATAATTCTAAAGAAGGGCAGTAAAATGCTTTCAACCTTGTACTGTCATCGGATTGAAATGCTTTGCTATCAGTTTATTTTAATAACCGCATGATACCCTTTGATGTGAAGAGAGCCAAAAGAATGTGCCTTATTTTCTCCCCAGCCCACGGTTCAACAAAAAGGAGAGCAGCTTTGATTGCAGTGAGAAATATTGGCTTTCTGCAGTACAGTGGTGCCAGATGTTTGGCTTTAAGAGGGTCAAAGTGGATAGATGAGCATGTGGACAGTCTCTCCTGCCCTCCTCCCCTGGTCAGCTAAGCTACGCTGTTTCTCTGAGAGGATCAAATCTGGATAATCTCTTTTCCTCATTCTTGATTTATAGTGCTCGAGAATAAGTCACTGCTCAATGGAGCATATAGAGGCTTATGCCCTGCTCGTCATATACATCATCATGAGTACCCCTGTGTGTTTGAGGAAGATCTGTGTACTTGTTGATTGATGAGCCATATTAGGATAGAATCAGTCTTTAATCGTGTGTTAATGGTATTGTCAATGAGCCCTTGTCATGATAAGCTGACCTCCTGTGGAAAATGTGTGTGTTGTGCTTATGAACATGGGAAGTGACAGGAGCTGGGTTTAAACAGCTGCTGTATCCACCAGATGATCACCACAAGACCGGGGTTGTTCCCTGTCCTGTTCTTCTTCCTTAGCCCCAGTCTTATGATTAATCCAGACTGCTTTAAAGGGGATGTATTTAAGTTTTTGCGATTACCTACACCAATGGTAGCAGTAAGAGCTGTTTCCTAAGTGGTCAAGTAGAGTTCAGCATAAAATGTAATTTCTTTACCCAGCAAGATTTGTTTCCAGTGGTTGAAAGCAACACCAATGTTATCTGTTGTCTTGTTTCCATTTCATGATTTCTTTTCTTTTTCGGGAGTCAGCATGCTAACTAGCCCTGGTGTTACAGCTTTTATCTTTTTTTAATTTTTTATTACCGGTTCAGCTTAAACCCTGTCCCCCCTTCTGTATTGTTCAGGGTTAGGGCTCATATTTTGCTTTCTCAACCAAGGTGTGTGAGGCCTATCCTGCCTCTGATTGGGTAAAATTTAGGCAAAAAGGTTTTTTCTACCTAAAAATAATCTGTTGAGGTTTAACTTGGATAAGCAATCGATGCAGTCTGTCTCATCACTTTCTGATAGCAATTCACTGTAGCATCCAGTCTGCAGCAATGGCAGAAGCCTCCTCCTGTGCAAGAAAACTTCTGATCAGAACAGTGCTGAATTCTGCTCCCCATTGTGGATTATTTTTTGTCTTTTAGCTGTTGTGGACTTTTGTCTGTTCAACCAGAGGCAGTACCTGCTGTGGCCATTTGTGCCACAGTATCTTTGAATGTCGCCTTGCCACCCTGGGGTGTCAATTTCACAGCAGTTTCATGTGACAGTTGTCATTCTTTGTCAGCTAGAGTGGATGTTGAACCTTGTAAGGCTCAAGTGATGAGGGCCCCATGTCCACTTTACATGTGTCCAGTCTTCTTTTGTCCACCTTTATGTTTTTAAAGTTGTACTCATTAAGTCGCTCCAGTAGAGTTCTCAGTTAATGTGATTGATTACCTGCCACTTTTCTCTGGCTGTATTGTTTTTTTTCTTCTTTCTTTCAGCCTCTTCATTCAACTCTGAAACCACAACTAAAGCCTGGTCAGCTCTGATAAAATACATTGACACAATCTGCTGTGTCACTTTGTTAAAATGACATACATGATCAGGAACTCTTATTGTTGATGAGGCGAACTTCATATCATCCCTTTAAATACTGGTTTTAATGTCAATGTGTTCAATTACAATATAGCTAATGTATACGTGTAGAATTTAGCTCTTTTTTAGGCCGATTAGAACACTAGTACAGAGAGCTGATTTCCTTGAGTTTCCATTAGCATAGCCCTTTATAATTAACTCTGGTGCTCGTAACAGGAACACCAATCCTCAGCATTTTAAATCACACTTGAAAGGAACACCAACAGGTTGTGAAAAGAATGTGTCACAACCCAAGCTGCTTATAGCTTTTTTAACATTGCATTAGCCAACAAGATACAACTTCACTTCTAACCCATTTTATTTCACCTGGCAACTTCTTTTCTAAAATAATTGAAGTGGTTCATAAAAAATATTATTATGAGAGCTGTATCTAGCTTGATTGATCAAACAATAGTCTGAATAAGACAATGCCATGAAAAAGATCACACTCAGAATAAGTAATGATCAAATTAAGACATGTGGAGGTTCTGACCAAAGTCACATTACTACATGTCTTAATCGCAGTATAACGTTGGAGTATTCTCTATATTGTGTGACATCGACACACAACGGTAACCAACAGCTGGATGATGCATCACATGATGTGAGTCATAATCAGACTTTAATTTGTAAACTGGAACAGGAATTAAATATTCTATTTGCAACTCAAATTAACATTGGTGTCCATGTAAACATAGTCACCGATACTGATTATGTAATCTTTCATGAAGTAGCTTTATGGGAATTGTTTTATACTTATGATCAAAAAATCTATAAGGATGTATATCCTTCAAAGTAAGGTTCCCTTTCTCCGGGCATTTTTCCTTCCTCTTTCGCAGTAAAGTCAGCAAGGGCTCAAGGAGTGTGCGCTCCTTTAATTATCCTTCTGCTTGGTTTTAAGCATCGGTCAATGCCTTCCCTTGTCTCTGAAGTGTAGTGATGCATCTTCACAGAATTACCTGAAGCAGGTTTACTGTGATTGACAGAAGCCCTGACATGGAGAGACTGTGTTGTGCTTTTGCGATGATCTGTTTTGAAGAGGTCTCAGTGGTTTTGTCATACATATTTGTTGGTATTTGGGGGGTGACAGTGCAGCTGTCCTCTGATTTATTGTGATGGGAGCAATAGAAGCATTTTATTTTTTTTATATTTCTATTAAAACCTGTGTGGGTCCTTTTTTGAAGCAAAAAATATTAATCAATTTGTCATATCTTTTTAAGAAAATAATTTCTAATAATTGAAAAGGGAATGTATGGCAGTTTCTAATATTTTGGCTTTTTTTGTTTGTGTGTGCCTGTTGTTTGTATGCATCTGTTTTTGTGCACAGCCACTGTCTGTGTTTTGCTGAAGCTGATGTTGAAAAGCTATATTTTTTTGAATATTCTGAGTACTTTGGTGTTGTTTAATCGTTGTATGGTTATCATTAATAGCTGCTTCCAAACTTCTACATTGATGACAATCTTACTTCAGTGTCTTAATCCCCTTTTGTTTACAGACAGTGATGCAGAAGCGACAACTGTAGTCCTGACTAAAGGGGCTGAAGTGAAAAGAATCACAGGTAGAGGCAATGAGACTGCCTTTATGTACTGGTTGACTACTATGAAGCGGGTGATTTAAACTGGGCTGCAGAGATATTTTGTCCTATGGAATAAGAATCCCTGCTTACTCGACAATGAACGCTTTCCCATTTTTCCACTTTCACATCATCATCATTCGTCTCTTCGTTTAATTTTACAAAATGTTTGTGCTCAGTCACTCATTCGATCCTTATGGGTAACTTGGTGTACCACCATAATAATCGCAAAATCACAATGGGGGCTTTCTGCAGTTAATTTTCCACTTCATTGGGCTTTTCACCTTTGAATAAAGATTGGGTGGCAGCATTATAATTCAACCTATTAGGATTAAAGCTACTAACCCCTGCTCCTCCTCGTCCTCTTTTTACTCCGTAATGTCTCACATTTGCGGTTGGCTTAATTTTCAAGTCCACTGGTGCTGCCATCACAGACAGACCTCAAATGGTGCTAACTGACACTTTTGTGTTGCAGAGGTGGAACCAGACATCAGCGTGGGACGAATAGTAGGCTCAGGTACATCTGCAGCCCCACCAACCTAACTCCTTCTCATCTTTGTTGTCCCTCTGCCATTCGAAAGAAAATGTTTTAAAACCCTGCAATACTTCAGCTGCCACATTTGTAATGGGGCGGCATTATCATCTTTTTCTAACATGGAAAGCTAAGTAAATTCATTTAGCTTCTGTATAGTCATCAAATACTGAATTTGACAACAAGTGAGGGGTTGATCTTCTGCTCAGTCAACCTTTTGAAGCTGCAGTGTGTGATACACCACTGCCCTCTGTTGTCTCAGCTCAGTAACAAATCTTTGTCAAGTGAAGCAGTTTGCAGGAGTTTTGATGCGATAATTCTGCAAGGTTCCATAGACCAACATTTTTCTTTTTCCTAAGCTGTTTTCCTTGATTCAGCCCCCCTCTGGCTGCCTTATGCTTCTCGACTGACACATAAACCACACACACACACACTCGCATGCATACACACACAGTCACGCACTCATCTTGGCTGCTATGGCAAAGTCCCCATCCTCCAGGGCAGTGCTTGGATCCCTCCCTAACCAGCCTTCATGCATTCCCATTGTCCTTTTTTCTTTATCTTTCTCCTCCAGCTTCTCTGTGAAGACAAGATCCGCAACCACAGGAGTAATAACGGGTCTATTCCTACTTTCAACTAATGCTCATGTTAAACCTAGTTATACTAATGCTATTACAGCAGTGTATAGACGGAAATTAATTGAACTTGTTAAGCGTTTTTATAGACACTGTATGCATCATTGTTAAGACTGCCGCAGATGCTTAACTGACATAATTGAGCATTTAAACATAAATATTTATCTCCTAGTTTTCTGTGCTTCTCTGTCTTCTACCTCAGTGCTTCACCAGGCACCTATTGGCTGCCCCTTTGGTTGACCATAGGTGATCTCTTTAACTTCTTTTCTAACTTTATTTTAAACTCAACAGATTGTTTTGGCTGGCTTCTCCCTAACCTCCGCTTGTCTTGTTTGTCACAAACTCTAATGCTTTTACTTTTGACATTTGCCATTTTGGTTTCTCTGTGAAAGATGCACAGATTTGTTAACTACAGCTAATGAGCTGATAGTTGAAATTGCATAGCCTGGATGACCGTGCTCATGAACCAACTACATCAAGTGTTCCACCCAAAAGGTGCCATTTGTTTCCGACATCCGTCCTTTATCGATGTGTGAGGTAACTGTATTTCTGTGTCTGCTTTCTTTTCCAGTGTATGATAAGCAGGGCTTTCTGCTGCAGCTGGATACAAAATTGTGAGTATATATTTTTTCTAGTAAACACTTCTCCCATTTAATTTAAACATTTTGTGATTCTCCATCCTGTACTGTGTGGGATACTTGTTGTATATTGACCAGCTGAATCCCCAGTTAGACTTGAACTCCCATTAGTTAAGATATGTTTTACAGCTAAACACTCATACAATATCAGGTTGATCAATGGGAAAAAATGAAATATGAAAATGTAAACCTTCAGCCGCTTCATCTCACTAGAGTTTTTAAATAAACACACAGCATCTCATTGGAGTCCTAACCATAACCTGGTGACAAATGCTCAAATGTGATTGGTTGTCTGAGCAATACATTTCGAAATTAGTGTAAATTGTGATGTAGTTAGTCTATTTGTGTTTTTTTCCCAGAGCAGCTGTGGTTTGTCAGAGTAAGAACATGTTACCTTGAGCCATTATGTAGCTGTCATTGTGTCAGCGTGTTTCTTGATATGTGTATAATTCCCTGAATTGGTTTGACACTCTTAATAATCATACGCAGCCATCACCACCCCAGCACTCTGAGGTTATGTCTGTCCACACACTGTAAGCACTATGTCAGTACACACTTAGGGTGGTTTTCACATGGGTTGGGTTTATCTAATACAGCTCCTTACATGTCTACAGTGTCATTCATTACACCATTACTGCACATGCACACAATTCATCTCAAATCCAGTAATTGGTTTTGTGACTGGTTATTTATTACCACTGGTAGTCTGACTGATAGAAAAGTGCCACATTAATGTCTTTCTCACCAAACTGTTTACCACCTTGAAACCAGTTAAGCTGCAAGTGAACATTATTAGCATGATTTGAAATGTTGGCTATGGGAGAGGAGGTTGAGAGGGTGGTTCACTAATCAAGGTCCTAGTTCCATCCCCAGCTCCTCCAATTCGCATGGGAACAACATACCCATGCGTGTGCTTGTACAGATATCTTTGTGAGGACTATTTTGAGCCTAGAACCTACAGAGTGAGGACATTTTGGCCGGTTCTCACTTTCTGGCCCACTTTCAATGGGCTGTTTCAGGGTTAAGACTTGCTTTTAGTATTAATGTTAGAATTAGGTGTAGGTTAGGGTGAGACCCTTTCCGAGTCAGTTGCTATGGACATTCAGCTGTCAGCCCCCCAAGAAAAATGTTGGTAATGGTTTGGATCATTTCCAATCAAGCCCATGTGACACAACAAGAAATTCTTGAGAAGATTCACTGTGAGCGAGTGGGTGTGTTGATGATGATACTAACATGCAACAGATGCTGAAGTGGGGGGAAAAAAGGCAAAAATAATTCAAATATATCAGGATGAAAGAGAGGTGTCATGCAAATAGAAGATGTCAACAAGATGAGATTTAACAGCTTTTGGTGATACAGGCCAAAGACGGTGTTGTTGTGCTGGAAACAAAAACATGTGCTTGCCTCTACACTCCGGAGAATTTTCTGATTTTGTAAACACGTCTGACTTGAGAATCTCCTGCTGCATCCTTCATATGTGGAAAGCAAACTGTAGAGAAAAATCCACACAATTGTGTGGACATTTTCCAGGGTTCATGTCTGAAAACAGCTTCAGTGAAATGCTGTATGACTGTGACCTGTAGTTTAAAGAGCTTCTATTTGTCGACAGGAGCAATATCAATGTAGTCCACATACCACTTCAAACTGTTCATAAGCAGGCCCCAGTCAAGCTTGTTCTGGTGCCAACTTTGGTTTTGGGCCTCACATAGTGCAAAGACAGGGCCTCCCTCCCATCTCCCTGTTTATTTGAACTAGATCCATGGCATTCATCGCGTTATTAATGATCCCGCTAGTAATCGGGAGGTTCCAGTTTAAGCACTGCCAGTGTGATTATTTGAACAAGACCTCACTGCCTTGTCTCGCCACACACAGGTGATATTCTGAGCTGTTGCTGAGTTCTACAACTTCCTAAGCAACCCGTTTCCCTATCTCCAAAAGCGGATTGTTTGACAAGCTCAGCGTTTGAGGCTATGAAATGTGTCAGTGTGATTGATTATTAGTTTATCATGATGCATCTGATTGATTTTTCTCTCTGTTCTGTGACTGTGCAGACCACTGGAGTTGTCGTACAAGTATGGTAACCTCAGCGAAGGAGTGTGCAAGCCAGGATACGCAGCAGCCAAGATGACCACCATCTATCCTAAGTGAGGAGGATTGCCTGCTCTTTCACACATCATTTCAGATAAATGGGGTGGAAATGCATTGATTGTCCTCAAGAGTACATTCTCTAAACCTAGACCCCTTTTTGAAATATAAGAACTTCACATACAGAACTGCACAAACACATCATTTTATTTGCATGTCAGGACAAGAAAAGCTAAAACTTTTACTCAAGCATACCAAGATGCATGATGTCATTTCTCAAGTCAACTGGGCCTTTAGGGGTTTTGAGTCAGAAACAGAGAAGCCCCCACATTCCTGTACAATCTCCCCCAGTTTCAGTCATGTTTCTATCATCTTCTCCTCCACCACAAAAACTCAACTGTGTCCTTGTGATCTCCCCCCGTCTCACAAAGGAACATTTGTCACTTGAGTACAAGGTCTCCCATCTTTCCTCTGTCATATCCTAGAGTGAAAGAGGCGTCCTCTATGAACGACACCAACCAACTTCCTGTCCTGACTCATCATGAGTTTCCTCGACACAATTAACACAATCCTCCACGGCCCTCTCTGATGTCATCAGCCCTTTTGATTTTCCTCCGTGCCCCCATTTGCTGCCCATCTCAGCTCGATCTATAGGACATTGTTCCATTAGCATTCTTGGAGCTAAGCTAATAGAGAGGCAATTTTCCGCATTGCTGAACAATAGCCACTGCCACTTCAATTCAGTTCTTGATCTAGTTATGGGACAAATTTGAATTTCCAATATTGAACCTGATTTATTTCTTGACTTAAGATGCAGTCAGAGCATTAGATGTGAAAAAGTTTCACAACAAATTATAATATACACTTCAACTTTGGCCATATGTGATGCACAGTATTGCAGCTCTTGGTTGTGCATGTTTGTCTACGCACAAACATAAGCAGCACCATTGGCTGTAAATGGCATAAAGAGACGGACAAAGCACTTTTTCGTAGAACTGCCCTCTCCCTATATCTCAGAGGCTATATGTTAACAATGTCCTCCCTCATAACAACTTCCTCTAATCAGCCGCACGTGTCGGATCAAAGTTCTGTACAACACAGAACCCCCACCGGGAACCCTGTGATTACTACCACCTTCATCTCAGTCACACACAGGTCAATGGGGACAATTAATGCCACACTCTGCTCCATGTTGTGCATATGTATGTATTTGTATGCACGAGTGTGTGGTAGAATGTACACAGCCATGCAGAATGTGTAATTTTGATATATTGTGTCCTATTTGCAAGGATTGAAACAATTGACAACTTTTTTTTTGTCATCTCAACCCACTTTTTATATTTACTAGACAAAAACAAATCTGTGGAAATGTTCCTGTTAGCATTTTATCTAAATAGGAGTGATCTACAGTTTGGCTGTTAGAGAAAAACTACTTAACCTCTCGCAGTGAGGTCCTGTAGCTCCCCCCTCTAATCATCTCCTGCTTCCTCCTTGTTTGCCTTCTCCGAAGCCCCCTGCCCCTGTAGAGTCCAATTTATTTTCCACACCTCCCCTCTGCTTTACCCAAAACTGTTTGCATTGGAGTCCTAAATCAAGTCTTGACAGTGAACTTGAAGCAGCACGGTTATAAAAATATTGCCAGTGAGAGATGGACCCGTTAAAGGAAGCGAGCACAATGCATCCCTGCCTGTTGGCTGTTTTGGGAGCCCTCATTTTTTATTTAACAACAAGCAGCCCCCTGTCTCTCTGCTTTATCAGGATGTCAGTGACTGACTGTCGGTCAGGGTTCAGTGATCCTGTGTTATTTATAGCCCCTCACTGCCTCAGTCTTGGCTTTAATGAATCTCCATTTGTTTTGGCAGGATTGATGTGTGTGTGTGTGTGTCAGGTGATATGAGGAGACGAGAGAGCCATACATACTTCTTCGCTTGAGTCTCTGCTGTAAAGCTGGAGGGATAATGATGGTATCAAAGACTTATTAGAGTGCTTGGAAGAGGTTGTCCGGAAGGCCTCACAATAATATCAGCCATGTTTGGTCACTGTGGCTCAAATCTCCACACAGACCTTCTGAACCAACAGCAGCGTTACAGTAAAAAAACGTCGCAGGCTCCTGCTGAGTGTTATAATGCTTATATGTCCTCTCTTGAATCCGAATTACTTTTCTCGTGAGTATGGTCAATCAGCTGACATGATTAATTTAAACCATTTGCCCTTCAGCGAGATGCAATAGTCCTGTTCTCATTTGGTTTCCTTTCAGTTAATGCAACTGTAAAACGATAACTGTCTTTTATCATAAACACAATAAAACACACCATTTCTATAGATCTCGAGCATTTAATTCTCTGTCCTGATAGATCATTTATGGAATTTCATTAGAGTAGAAGTAGATCAAAGATGATCCATGAATGTCTACGACAGAAAAGAGACAATGCCCTCCACTTGTGCCCCCTCCCAGCTTGACAGCAGGTCATGAAAACACACATCCATCCTGCAGCCACACTCGCAGAGGTGGCACGTAGCCCAGCACTCGGGTCGCAGGCGTGACTAAGAGGAAATGGCTTCTTTTGATTTCAGTGCAGCAATTAATCAAAGAGGGACCCACGCACACACACTCGAACAGGCACACAGGATGAGGAAGAGGTGATGCTGGAAGCAGCAGTTCATGGGGCATTGAAAACATTGACCACAGGTGTATTTTTGAATATGGGGCTCAATTTGTTTGAAAATTGCAGGATGACTGGCTTCTCACTTGAATCATTTGAAGCTGTTTTCTCTGTCTTGGCCAAACACAGACCTTCCTCCTCTCTGATTTAGTTAGTAGAAACAGTCTTACCCAAGATCGTTTGAGGAAAAGCATTCTATCGTACGTTGTCTCTGCAGATTTATCAAAACTGTGTATCAGCTGTGACTTGGGTGGCAAGGTTTTGTCGATGGGGCTGTGTCTCTCCCTGCCTCTCAGCTTGTATTGCCTACTTAGTTTTTATCTACCTTGCCAATGTGCTTGTTTTGGGAAACTCTCCCAGGGCGCAGGAGCTTAGAAGGCTATTAGATTAATTACAGCGGAACAAGTGAATTTATTTATCTCTTTGTGGCTTAAACTTTGCCCAGGACATTAACACTGTAGTCACAAGTGGAGAAGATTTTACAGGAATCCAAAAAGTTTGAGTAGAGGAGAAAAGGTGTGGTGGGGGAAATTACAAAAAAATGTATAGTTCTCAATGACCAATCTATGATGGAAAAGTAACATTACAATATGATGTTCTTTCCCTGCTTATTCACCCATTCCCTTTACCTTCTTTCCTTCCATTCCCTCCCTTGCAGGTTCATGAAACCAGCGCCCATGTTTCTTGATCGGAACTTCAAACGTCTTGCAAAAGTCGGCAATTACTTGCCTCCATTTGGTTTTAAAACGCAAGGTAAGAAATACTCATTACGTCACTTACCCTTCACTAATAATTTATCCAGAACATTACTTCGTCTACAAAAACACAACAGCTTTTGCATTGCTATTACAACTTTTTGATTTAGTATACATGCTTGCATCAAAGGAGTGTCCCAACAGTTAACATGAAGGATTCACAACTAGCAACAAAAAATTTTACATTCACCAGCAGAAGCAGAGATACCCTGACCATTAGTGCTATATATAGTCGAAGCTCCAAGGCCACCGATTACTACATTTCCCTTAATACAATTTCCTTGTATCTTTCCTTAGACCTCCTGCTTTCAAAATACCTTTTTTACTCTAACTCCACACCTTGGGCTCTATTTTAAACGATCTAAGTGCATGATCTAAAGTGTCTGGCACAAGTCCTTGTGTGGTGTGTCCAAATCTAATTTTGCTAGTTTAGTGGTGGGGAAAAAAGGTTGTTGCACCAGGCGCATGTTTTAAAAGGTTGTACTTACTCTCTTAATCGTGGGTGTGCCTTGGGCGTTATGTGTAATAAAACAATTATGGTGGCATCTTCCATTCTTTTTAAAAACCAGGTGTGCTTGCATCTTGGCAGATTTCTATTATAATGGTGGATTTGCCAGGTGGCAAGACAGAACACTTCTCAGAAATTAAATTTCACATTCTTCCAACAAGTTTTGTTTATTGTTACTGTTAATTTTTCTAATAAATAAAGGCAGATGAAAATATAACCTCCTCGGTGGAGGTTATAACCTATTATAAAGCTTCATCCAGAGACACAGAAAACATTCTCCTGTTTTCTCATGTGGAGTAGTGTTTGTTGTGATTACTAAGCTTAGCTTAACGTGTCCCTCTTTAACGCCAGCAACGATCCTGTGTTCTCAGTGCAATGGTTGTTATGGGGTTTCGATGCTGTGTTGAGGCATGACAGTCGCTTCATGGTTGAGTACTTTTAGACTGCACCGCCTGGTATCTCAAAGTAATAAACCATCTGATTGCTATGGTATCAAACTCAGTTTTCCATGTTTTCTTTATGGTTTTGTTCCGCATTGCTAACATTACACTAAATACAGGTGATGAAATTACAAGGGAGGACTGCCAACTCTCTAATCACTAGGTGTCAGCTGGCTCCTCGTAATGTATCTATTTGTCCAATCTAGGCCAATCAACAAACTGTCAGTATCTCTTCTTATTTTGGTTTTACGGTCTGATAGTCAGACTGAACAGTCTATTCTGTTTTTCCATTTGATGAGGATGTGTTGTGTTATTCCAGTGAATGAAAACAAGCTATTTTCTCCAAATACCCTTTTTAAGCTCTTTTCATCATGAAGGTTTCACTCTGAAGGTTGAGATGTGGACAATGTTCAAGTTTTGCTTCCTTGCACTTTCATCATTTGCAGAATATATTTTGCCTTTGGGTTGTGACTGTGTCTTGTCCTGAGTTAACACCAGGTGAGAGAGCTAATACATCGCAGTGCATATTTGGTCACCTTTCGTTTTTGACATTATGTTGTCATGAAAAAGTTTTCGAAAACTATTGCTATAAGTTAATTCATGGTCTGTGTAACATCAAATTAGCCTAATCTGTTCCCAAACATCAGCTATTTTAATGAAAGCAATTAATAAATCTCCATCTTACACTGTCCACACTTGGTCATTTTGTTTTTAATAGCTCATAATTCTCTTTGACAACAGCTTCCTGAACATCAATGCTGGACCATAATGCTCAACACATTATCAATCCCTGAGGATGTTTCAGAAAGGAATTTCTGGAGGTGCATGTGTGTAAAAAATCAAATAATTCCTACTCTCCAAAAATTGGCAATCCTCAAATTTTACATTGTGGCCAAATGCAGTGAAAATAACCTGCTATATATGGCAGAACATGTTTCTTTAAGTCCGAACTTTGTCCTAGCCAAGGAACCAAGAAGACATTTGACATCTGTCATCATCATTATTTCCTGATACTCTTTCATTAAATGCCTATAAGTCAGAATATTTTATATGAATATTCAATTATTTAAAATCCATTTATTGCCTTCTGAGTTTGTCATAACATGCTGGATGAGTTCTGTTTCGGGACCAGGAAACTCATGTCTCCACACATCTCTACACACTCTGCTTGGTCTGTGACCTTAACACACTTCAGATATCAAACCAGCACATAATACCATGGGAAGTGAAGAGATAACATTAACCTGCCTTCAGTGACATGCTGTCACATATTTTCCAGTACTTAGAAGCTGACGGTCCACTGAATGTTACCTTGTGCCCCGGCAAGTTCTCCGCTGTCATACTAACAAATGCAGACTCACATACACACATTGTTACACACAGAGACTCAGTTGCTATCAAAGGAACACTCCCTGTGTGAGTGTTACACCTGGTTTCTGTTTTCTCCACGGACTGCGACGGCTGTAGGGTTTCCCTTTTAGTGGTACCCATGTGGAGAGATGATACGTGTGGATCTTGAATAGAACACCACAAAGGATTCCAAATTGGGAACATAGAGTGGTGGTGGTGGGTGGGAGTTTTATTTTTACTTTTTTATTCTTCCAGGAGGTATCTACTGGAACACATGAACCGTGGCCTGAGAACAGTAAAGCTGTGTTGATTTCTCAGAGAAAAGCCTCTTGTCAGGATGCCAGTCAGCTACTTAACGGTCAACATGTGTTTCTAGTTATATTTTGCATTAATTGTTAAATGCTGCACTGTAAATGAAATTCTCTCTTCTCTGCAGTCCAAAGTGAACTTAGTGACGTCGTCATGTTGCTGAAGAGATTTTCTCCTTTAACTCACTCAGTCCTCTGGCAGATTGAGAGATTTTAAATTGAGATAAAAACACTCAGAATAGACTTGGTAATGCTAAGACATGAGTTTAGAGCAGTTTTGTCTGCGTTCTTTGATTCATCTCCATGTTTTCCATGGTGGTGTCTTTAGGTTTTCTGATGGCATGTCAAATGATTTACATGAAAAAAAAAGTTTGAAATGATAAAAAACTATTCAAAAAAATCTAATCAAACAAATTTACTAAAACAATAAAGAGATTAGAAAATATTCTATTATGTGATTGATTCAGCTTCTTATTTAGATGATTGCAGACTATGCTGGTGTTTTGATTACTTTGCATAGTAATATACTCTCATCCACATCCAAGCTCATGTGATCCCACTTATAATGTGCATATACAGTAAATTATTTTCCTGCTTCATCTTCTTTTTAAGTAGACGTAAGAACAGATGAACGTTTATATTATAAATCCATTGTCTCCTTTTGTCTTTATTGACATTGAAATTAGTGAGAAAAAATATTTGGTGGAATGTAACTTCTGTAGGTATTAGTTTGATAAGCTAATGAATGAAATCACCACTGTCTTCATTCTCAGCATGCTCAGTTAATGAAGGCGCACCCACCGTTATGCAACTTCACACACAGGCTAGAAGAAACATGATTCATCCAGAGAGAACTTGAAAATTTGAACACACATCAGCCTTTTAGTCTACATGCAGCAAGATTCTTCAAATTCTAATAACCTTGATCAATAAATTGCACTCAGATTATTAGTTTTTCACCCTCGTAGGCAGTTCTGAGTAAAAAGCCTGTTCATTGCTGGCCCAACAAATACCTTTGTTATCACATGATCTTTTATGTTGTTTAGGCTACACTCTTGTGACACAATGTGTCTGTGTTTACATATTATGCGACTCTTCCGTCGTTCGTCTTTGTTGTCAGTAAGAATTTTGTCATTTCAAGGGTTCCAAGTCGGACTAACGTCTGAGCCTAAAGCCATTTGTCTCCGGCTCTGCCACGAGACATAGTTTGCTGAAATGTTTACCCCGGGTACTTACAACAATTAGCTTCCATGTCATCCTCTGTAAGAGAGTCCTGCCCATTGTGATTTTTCACTTTTCACCCGCTTGGATCCAGGTGTGGTCCGTGCTCTTGTGTTTATGCTGCTCAGGGTGATGCTTGACGCCAGACATCGACACCACATCCAAACAATGGGCTGTTCCTCTGCTCGCCTCTCCACAGCAGTTTAATCATTAGGATCGTTAGCCCGGTGAATGAGGCTGTAATATGTCTTACAAACAGCTTTGAGGCCCCAGTCTAAACTCTCCTCTTCTCACTCTTCCCTTTGCTCTCGCTTTTCCTGGGGCTGTTGCTCTTGGCCCTGCTCGGGTGACTATGTGCTATATGGTGATTATATCACGTTTAGAAGTGAAGGCATTTAAAACACCACTCATTTTTGAACAATGTGTTGCAGGGATACAATCCATGTTGTCCCTCTATGGTGCATCTGCATTACTACAATTGTAACTGATCAAAGACAGTAGCAACTGCAATGGAATCTTCTTTATTTGGGATGTTATGATGGGTGTATTACAAGTATGAGAGGCCTAAAAATGGTCAAGAGGAGTGAGGAAATATTTGTAATATCTAACAATGGAAGTGTGACTCTACCAGAATGCCCCGTAGAACATGGCAGGAATGTGCGCTATGGCTAAACATCCACATTTCTCGCCCTGCGATCAGAGGGGTGCTGGCCACGCAGGGAGACGAGCTCAACATCGCCCACTTAACCAGGAGAATGTGCTTGTTTGAAAACAGCATTCCTCTTTGAGTGCTTCTATGGGAGAGTTTCTACATACACACACATACCATCCGGAACCCTGTATGTCTGTTTCTCCAAGATTCACTCCTCTACGTTTCATCCCATCACCACTGCTCCTGAGTGCTGATTGGTCAATCCTTATCTATGACTGAATAAACGGAGAGAGGTGTTCTCTCCTCCAACTGTCTATGAGACCACCTAGATTGTTGTATCTCTCATGGTATGTTGGAGCTTTCAGCAGTTTATATATCTTCTTAAGGAGCAGTTCCCTCAGTTCTCAAATCCTTTTCCCTATATGAGAACATCTAATCTGTGATGTTAAACTTCTGTTCCATAAAGAGTGAGCTTTCAGGACTAATGACCTCTTGCCAGATTATCGCCTTGTCTCATACAGTATTTTAAATGAAGAGATCTTGACACTCTTCTACTTTCAGTGTAAGGGGGGGATCTTGATAAAAAGGGCATTCTTAGGCGATGGCGAAGTGACAACTAATTGTACGTTTTAAATGTCCTCTTCATGATGGTTCTTTGTTTTTTCCAATGCAGAGAGAATCATAGACAGCATTTTAACTACCACGAAAAATTATGGACTTGGAGAGGAGCTGGACAGGTAATCACTGCTACTCACATACATCAACGTGAAGTCCTCTTTTGTAACATCTGTTCTTGAAATTAATTATTCTATATATTATATATTTTTTATATTAATAACCCATGACCCTCCTGCCTTCCAGTCTTAGCTGTAAAAGATGCATCATTGTGGGCAATGGGGGCATCCTGTCCAACAAGTCTTTGGGCTCCCGAATTGATGACTATGATGTTGTAGTGAGGTGAGATAACTCCTTTAAGACAAAGGATGCCATGATTATGACTCGATGAACTTTAAAATGTATAGATGTTAAAGTGGAAATTACATCATCTTGAATACTATATTCTCTGGGTCATGAACCTTAAAGAATCTTTGAGGCATGAATTCAATTCACTAAGTCATTTTTTTGTGTCGGCAGGTTGAATGAGGCACCAGTAAGTGGTTATGGCAAAGACGTCGGAACCAAAACCACCATCAGGATTACCTATCCAGAGGGAGCGATCCAGAAACCTGAAAACTATGAAAAAGACTCACTTTTTGTTTTTTCTGCTTTCAAATCACTGGACTTCAAGTGGCTCAGACAGATGGTCTTCAAGGAGAAACTGGTAAGGGTATATTAAAATCATCGCCTTAAACATATTTAACACACATACACAGTGACACACTGAAAGAAATGAAACTGAGTGGGTGCTCAAAAAAACAAATTGTTGGGAATGAGAGAAATGTCTGCTGCACAACAAAATTAGCCACCCAAGTAGAATATTTACTTCATAAAGTGTTGAAATGTGGCTGAATATCTGAGTTATGCGTTATTTTTAGCAGAAGATGGAAGTTTAACCTCTGATCACATTCTGTACATTCCTTTATGTGGAAATGTAAGCCATTCTAGTAAAGGGATTAGGAGGACAACATGAATCTCTGCTATATAATGTGGATGTTTCAGATGGTTAAAATGCTTGTTGCTGAAAGGACAGTTGAAAAAAACCAAAAACTATAGACAAGTAATTTTTTTCTATTCCAGAAAGAGATTTATCTTTAATGTTACATTGCCATTTCCCTGGAGGTAAGATGCTCTCCTGTTAACCTGTTCATTCACATTTGGATTTACCCACACTTATAATTATGAATTAATTTCCCACATAGCAAATCTTTCGGGTGTCCTTTGAAATGTTATGATTGGTACAGTTAAATGACAGGCTGTGACCTGGCCTCTTAATCACAGGGGTCAAACTGAATGACAGGACAGGCTCTCCCTCATCTTACAGAAATTATTCATTTTAAATGCCCCCTGTGCCTGCATATTAAACCCTTTGTCATAAAAATTGCTCTCATAAGCACTTTCAATCACTTCAGTCTCTAGCATTGGTGTGAACTTTTTTTTTGAGTCCATTCAACTGCAGGACAATGAAACCATTTATTAAAAGATCATCACAGAGTCATTCGAAAGAAAGGTAGTTTTATTTAAAAGAGCATACCATTGTTATAACATGTATTAGCCCATTTGATACAAATCCTTATACTTTTATATCTTTGCTTACCATTTTGCATATTAAAGAAAAATGGATAAAATAAATTAATCCTGTCATTGTCCCAAAACGGGGAAATTCAATGTTACAGCAYKAAAGAGGAAAGTCAAAATAGAGACATCGGTAAAAGTATTACGTAAATATGCAAGATATAAACAAGGAAATATAAAGTGGAAATGATATACAAAATGTTAACAAATATTTATATATACTGTGTGAGATTTTACTTTATTTAAATTTATCACTTTGGAAATACTATATCAGAATATGGTCATGCCAATAAAGGCCTTTCAATCTGAATTTTAAATGTTTCACACGCACTCAGAATTTAGTTTTTGAGGTTTTAAACATTACTTCAGTTCCATGTAAAATAACATTGTGTGCGTACACATTATGCTGTTATATTAAAGATACTGTACATTGTAGAATTGGACTAAACCTTGCATAAACTGTACAATCCTGAAGGCTTTGTTCTACACATGTTGATAAGCTAAACTCCCTCTTTACAAAGTTTTAGTGCAGGATACCTCTGTCTAATCAGGTAACTCAGAGCTAAAAGCTTATTTCCCTCCACAGATGTGTCACTTTTAGAGACCACTGTAGATTTATCAAATAAAAAATAACGTGAAAACACGGATAAAAAATGAAGCTGAAAGGATGATACATTTATAGTAGGGGATGGAAAGGGCAAGCTGAAATGAAGTAGTGGTGTGAAGTTGGATTAAAGGATGAGAGATTAGAGGAAAGATAGATGGAAAGGAGAAAGTTAAATAGGGTAAAGGGATAATAGCGGAGGAAAAGAAAATGAGCAGTGGAAGGTAAAGTAAAAGGGAGGAAAATAGTTTGCTTGGCTGGCTGATGGCCCCTTCAGCCTTTGATAGTGCCCAGGTTTTTCTGGTGTGTCAGAGGGAGAGGACAGTGGAATTGGCTGCCTGGGATAATTGATCTGGCCCCTGGCATCTGACTCAGCCCTCTTTGATCTGCTGAGGAAGGAAGAATGTTTCCCATGGGTTAAAAATCAGGGAACAAAAAAGAAAAAAAAATCATTGTCTTTTGGTCCAAGCCTTGGTGATATGGAAGAAGAGAACTGACAGATGTGCAAAGACCCATGTTTGACCTCTGGAAAGTCCTCGGTTTTTAGTCTGGTTTTATACATTTGCAGAGATTTTACTACCATATAAATACTGTATTTCACCCTATATAAATGTTTCCTTGCCAATTTATTCCAGTTTTATAGTTTATGGCACTGAAGTTGACTCGGCCAAGTATCAGCATTATTATACAAATACAGACATTAAAAAAAAACATAGACTTTCATTCCAAAAGACCCAAAATCAATTTCAGCCTTACTAGTCCAGGCTTGTTGGCATCCACGACTGTGCTGACTGAGCTGCTGAAAGCCTGTATTTGAGAACGCAAATGTCGTGAGTCAGTTACTCAGAACATTTTCTGGAACTTTTCCTTCTAGCCCCCTTGTTACATTTTCGGATAATGTCAGAGTGAGGTCATGTGAGAATACAGAAGAAAAATTCACAGCAAAAATGCTTCGGTTGTGAACGCATACAACCTGGACGTAAAATAAGTGGCATGTCGATTTTTACATACCGTGAGTCGCCTCGTGTTTCCAGAGAGACGATATCTGTTTACTAGAGGATCGTAAGTCTTAGCAACAACATGAAAGGAACTGAAGTCCTGTTAAAAGACTGTTATCCTAGCTTCATTGTATCTGACATCCACCCACATTGGACTAATGCAGTGGAAACATAAACATGAAGAGGTGTTTATGTGTGTACGTACTTGTGCCTTCTCTGAACTCGGGGACACATTTCCAAAAAACATTGACTCAAATGTTTTTGTACTAATTTCTCCTTTAGTAACAGAAAACTCTTTTTTGCATCAATAAAATGCTACTGACTGGTTCACAGAGTGAAGCTGCATACTGTTGGCTAGGAAGCAGCAGCAGCAAGCTTCCCTCTCTTTGCTCCATCCATTCAGTCAGTCCCTGAGTGAGACATAATGTAACTATGGACGACTGCCCTGTAGGAGCTTTTATATCTGTTGGTCGAGCAGCGGATTTCTTTGTGTAACCTGCACATTCACAGCTGGAAGGGATGCAAAACCCCTTTCACTATCCTTCTGCGGTTATGAAAGCGGGTGTCTTTCTTCACTTTCTTCTTGAAAAGGGTTGTGGGAGGTACGCAGTTGTAGTGCAGCCGCTGGTGACTCAGTGGTCTGCTTGAATGTCCGGCGCTATTTTGGCTTTTCAGATGCCTCCAGCACAGTCTTGGATGGCTGAACCGAATACAAATTAGCAATTTCCCAATCTGTTATTTAGTGTTTTGTATACTCTCACAAACACACAACCTCCCACTCACTCACACATGCAGAGTCCAGATTTGAAACTTTGACCTTGATCTTGAACACATCCTCAGCTTGCATGTCTTTCTCTGAATGTGTTTCACATTTTAGATCAGTGCAGCCTGCTGCTACATCTGCAATTAGAGTGCTGCAGCATCACAAGACTTCCAGCTTCCCTAATTCCTCATTACCGCAGGTATACGTGATTACAACTTGGCTTAGTCACTTTTTGAAAGTCTGACCCCACATATGCAGCAGCCTGGTTGATTGCCCAGTTACATGCTGTTTACAACTGTGCTCAAACATAATTTCCACGATTGTCGATATTTCCTTTTTCCTATGACACTAGTTTCGATTTTTGCCACGATGCACAGCGCACGCTCACGGTTCATGCACACACAGCCAGAGTTGTTTGTATATGCAGGGATATTTTCAAACAGAGCCAGTGAAGGATATACAGCCGGTGGTAAACACAGAGTTCGAAGGTGGAGTGTCGGTGTTCTATCCCTTCTGTTTGTTTACAGGAGCTTTCCCTACCTCTCTACAAGCCAGAGAGATAAATGATGGATGGAAACAACTTGAGAAAAGAGTTCTTCCTTCTTCAATTGAAATATACCCAGAACTTCTTATGTAGAAGTTTCAAAATATTTGAATAAAGCCAATCTTCTTGAAAACATCTCGCCAGAAAATCAAGTCTGCGAGGAACTCCTAATATAGCCTGTTGATTCATATCACTGACAGATTTCCAAATCAGCTTCTGGCTGGAATATTGTTAGGGAACATTTCTTTTGTTTCACTCTGTATACCAAGTTTGTTTGCTTTATAGACATGTCATTTTAGCCAGAAAAGCCAGTGTAACACAGAAAGTGCTCTATGGGACAGAAGAACAGCTATATGGGTCCTTTTTAAAGTCCCAACATCTGTGCAGAAGCCCAAAGTAGCATGCATACATGCATTCATAAACATTTACATACTTGTAAACATAGATTCTGAACATGAACCAAGTGACTAACATAGTGTCCGGATGTCACTGATTACCATGAGTGTTGTGTTTCGAAAATGAGTCACCTACCTAGCCTGCAATGATTAACACTCAGACCTGCACACTGGGATCCTCTGGTAGTGTGTTTTCATGTGATGGATGTTCGGTAACTGCATATTTATTCAAGTTCAAGGAGGACTCTGACTTGTCAAAATAAGTCAAAAGAAAGACAAATTTGTTTCTTTTATAGTCAGATACCAGCAGGTCCTGCCAGCAGCAATGGCTGTGTGATCTTCCAACATGTCACCTGTTGGTAGCTAGAGGCAAGGCTGCACATTGAAGTCCTCAGGGTCATAGTGTCGTCAAGGGTTGGCACCGTTTTCACTTTTGTCGTCATGGGACTGTGGAGACAAGGGTTTCACACAGCGGATAACCTCAGGGTAAAATAGAAACCGCTGACTGAGGGCAGAGGTTGTGGTATGCGCCAAGAAAAGCCAAAGCATAAGCAAACTGGTGAATGTTTCAGATTCCTATTTGGAAGTGAATAAATTAACCAAAGCTGTTGGATGTAAAAATGTTGTAATCCCCTCTACTGTGCTCCTCACCATTTACCACCTACTCTGGAAAAACTATTTTCCCTTCAAACATTTTTTCTGAAACGGTTCCTCCTCAGTGGAGCACTTATGTGGTGAGACACTGCAACTTGTAAACTCAAAGGTCCGACATGTACACAGTGCTA